GTGATGTACTGTTTTGTTTACAACCTGTCAGATCCCTTGGTAAATGAGTACGAGAGTTTCTACTTTACCGACCGCCTGCGGTTTACCACTCGGTGAGTTGCTGTGCTGCGTCGGTAACTGGTCGACTCTGCTGCTGTGAGACGCCGCCTATTGCTGGGCGCTGGGCCCGCGCTGAGACTGTTCGGCAACACTCGGTGATTCTCGCTGACTCTCCACTCTACGGCACGTTGAGGCACTGGAGGATAATGGTGTTTATACTTCTATTGTCCGGAGAATATAAACATTGGCACGTCTGAATTTGTCCGTTGAGTTTCTGATGTGAACCCCGAATGTCCGCGTGGGTTTTTCACTGCACTGAATAATTTCACACTACCGATTCCCGAATCCGGCTCGAAGGACCATGTGTTTGGAGGGAAAACTGAATTTAGGGTGGATTGGGAAAGGGGTAGTGGAAATGCCGGTGAAAAACGAACTCACTGAGTCTATAAAAAATATACTGATTTATTCGGTGGAATCGAACCACCTTAGCGTCACTTGTTACACTGTGTTAATTGTCACTGAAATTAATTCAAACTGTTCTGAATTTAACACTGGAGATTTTCTGAATAATATACTGAATAATAGGAGACTGTACTGAGAATTTAAATAGGAGATGTACTGAGAAAACAAAATGTCTCGAACGGGTGATGTACTGACGCTGTTCGGACAACCGAAAGTAGCCTTAGAAAAAACGATATACTGCTCGCTTAACTCATTTGCTACGACTCTCTACGACTGACTACTCTGAGATTCGGTGATTGACTAGGCCTGACCGTTGACCCGAGGTTTCCCGAAAATTTTCGTAAGTGGCCGATCTGTGGTCAACCGTTGATGTACTGAATTTTAACTGCGTTTCAAACAAACCATTTTTATAGAGCAAATAAAGATCTACAAAAAAGTTTATAATGAAAATTTGACTACTAGCCACAGATTCAGAGATATTCATCAAAAATCCAGCTGAGGGCTATTGCATTGAGCGCAGCAGGAGGTTTGAATAAGTTGCGCATGGCGCCAATCACGTGACTCATGGCACTGTCGCAGGGAGGGTAACAGCTGACGCGTTGCACCGACTGCTCCCAAATTGCTATTATAATTTATAATAAATTAACGGTACATTTTGGGCTATAAGTTCCTAACTCCCCCCGATAGGACATTATCTCAGCTACAAAGAAATATATTGTTTTTCCCAGCTGATGAGGTTAACTAAAGATATCTAGGATTGAAGACGACCTGTCGGCAATTCCCAATTGTTTATAACAAATTGTGAATCACCCCGGCAAATTTGAGCATATACTTTTTAAAACATTAATAATTACACTTTTAGCTATCGATTGGTGTAATTTGGTGCCCTTTGGTTAATTTCGATGTAAAAAATCTAATTTGACTGGACTGCTGTGCCAAATTTCCGCCCGATCGATCTCATGGTTTTGGAGAAAAAGTGATTCTTTTTAAAATCGTTTTCCTCAAATATCTTCAAAACTAGGAGACCTATTTCGATTTTTTTGCTTTCAAAATATTCGTTTCGATGGCTTCTATCTAAATCATTCAAAAAATATAGATCCGTTGATACAAAGTTTCCGAGATATGGCCGTTTTTTCGTTTTTTCATAAAAAAAAACTTTTGTAAACACTCTAGCTTGTGCAAAAATCAAGATATGAACTTGAAATTTAGACAGAATCTTTCCCTCATGATAACAATGCTTCGTATTGAAGATAGGTTCAATCGCATTAGTAGTTTCGGAGATATTCGGCTTTTTCTGAAAATTTTTTACATGGAATATCTTTAAAACTATGCAACCGATTTCAGTTTTCTTCAAAACATTCGTTTCGATGCTTTTTGTCTAAATCAATCGAAACATACAGGGTATCCTATTTGAAAAAATGCGGCCAAAGATCTCCTAAAGCGGGCAAGTAACAAAAAATTATTTGATACAAAAATTATAGGGTTTCGAGGCGAACATTCGATGGTTTCATTGTTTTGAGCTTTCAAGCTCATGCTTGCCAGCTGCAAGCACAAAGCGCTTTTTTTTGTGAAATAGCGACTGCATTTTTCACCTCAATGAAACTTGTTCACCTTGATGAGTTCCTTTCACATACCTCATCATTCATGTAATTTCCCCTAATTTTACTCGAAAAATACCAAAATACGAGTTATGTGGTCAAACTGAAGATTCAAACATCCTTGACGCACCTTGGTGTAATTGTTCCGTTGATCTGTTTACCAACAGCAGTTATCAAATGTAAACAATAACCAAAAAATTTTCCTACTACTTCGAGGATTCTTTTATTGTAATCAGTGACAATTCAACCAGAATCGAGTTAGTATCACTTGTCATTTCATTAAACAGATCACGATGTAGTCAGCCAGTTAAATTGTCGATATTTTACTGATTTTCGGGGAGCGTAGAGGAGTGTATCGAGCCGCTGCTCGAACATATCGAGAGCGGTACCGCAATCGCCTACATTATCCTACAGATTCAGTTATTCGGAAGATTGAAGGGAGTTCTAGAAGAGGGTGCTTTTTTTTCTCTTTCTTTTAGCGCAAGAGATGCGCAGCAGACTTCATCTCCACGTGGTGCATCCTGGGTCACGCTAAAAAAGTCTGAATCTCCAATTTGATCACGAAACTCGTTTTCGTGGCATTTTTCGAGTAAAATTGGAGGAAATTACATGAATGACGAGGTATCTGAAAACAACTCATCAAGATGAGCAAGTTCCATTGGGGTGAAAAATGCGGTTACCATAAAAAAAACCATTTTATGCTTGCAGCTTGCAAGCATAAGCTTGAAAGCTCAAAATAATAGATGCACCGAATGACCCCCTCGAAACCCAAAAAATTTTTGTATTGAACATTTTTTTGTTAGTTGCCCGCCTTAGGAGATATTTGGCCGCTTTTTTTCAAGTGGGACACCCTATACTATAACCAAGGAACAAATTTATCGATTGAGCTCAGTCTAAGCTTATAACAAAGGGGCTGACTCTACTTTAATTTTTAAAAAATTCTATTTCATCAAGACTTCAATAAGACATCAACATTTTGAAAAGGGTTCAAAGTGTCCATTTAATCCCACCGTCTCCCACTAATTTTTCTTAAATAATCACAAAATTGTTCGCATTTCACTGTCGCTTAATTTAGAGAATTTTTTTCTACGGAATGAAAACATTTTATGTTACACTAGGAGAAAAATAAATATTTTCGTTTCGAATTTAACTATTCACGGACATTTAATACTTGATCACACAATATTTTCGACACATCTCACTTTTGTCACATTCCAAACATACACCGATAACCTCACAAACAGTGCATAAACTACCTTTATGTCCGAGGTCCGCATATGAATATAGATATGGCGGGATGAAATGCGAATGTTCGACGCGAGAAAACAAAAAGAACACCGAGTCGATTTTCCGTTTCATTCTAATAAGTGATTTAACATGAAGAAGAACATTTCCCGTGGTTTTCCATAACAACATCACAACCCACATTCAAATGCACTGGTGGCAATACTTCAACGTTGGACATGAGGCTCAGTTGGACCGGCGCTGCCAACATTACAACTTGATTCTTCCACTTTATAATGTGAATCGCGAGAATGTGAATATCAACCCGTTGCTATGCGTGTATCTTTTATACTGTTAATCCAATAAATATCATAGTTACGCCGTTGACAAGCTCATAGGCGATTTATATAATGTAACTAACGACACATTCCCGATTTGTCTTCCCGTTTTCACTATACCGAATGTAAATCATTTAGAGGTAGTGGAGGGGGAAGTTCTGTCGTGTATAGATACGCGGTGCACTCGGCCTGATGTTTTGCTCAGTCGGTCAAAACTTTTCTTAGCTGATACGCTACCGTGTATCTCGATAACCCTGGCCTTCTCCTTTACTCTTATACACTCCTCCGTCCACCTTGCTATTTCGTCTCCTTCCTCATCCACCACTCCTCACTCATCTGCCTTACATAATTATTTTCTTATTCCCATTCACATCTCCCCCATCCCCCTTCCTTTCTTGTGTACTCTTGTGGCTTCTTGTATCCTTCACCAAAACCCTTCCGGCAATTTCTTTTCCACTTCTTCCCATTCCACTAATTTTAACCACGTTTCTACCGGTACAACAACATCCCATCTCCTTATCCATTCCTAAAAATATTTATCCTTCATCTCCATCCCTTTTACATTCCAAAAAGCCAGTCCCCCCCCTCTCCTGCCTCTTCTCGTATCCCCTTTCTGTCTCCCATTTTGTCGATTTCTCCCTACGGCATCCCTTTTATGTTCCTCCTCCCTCACTCCGTTCTTTCTCTTCGAACTCCTTCTCTTTCCTTCATTCAGCTCTTTCCTTCTCTCCAAACCTTTTAACCCACTACCTCCTATTGCCTTACCCGCCAACCCCCCCGCGGTTTCGGCCTCTTCGGTTTTCATCTACTCTTCATTTCTTTCCATTCCCCATCCTTCTTGTCGACTCTTCCCTATTCTCCTTCCACTCTTCTCCCCTCCCATTCATCATTTTCCCCGTTGCATTTCACATCTCTAATTCTCGGTTTATCCAAATCCTTTCTCTTCCTATATTCACCCTTCTCCCCTTCCTCCTTTCTGCATTCTCCACGTATTGAAACTATCACTGCATCTTCCTCTCCCCCGGTTAGGTCGTTTTCCAGCTTCCCAGCTGTTTTACCTCTCAGTTTTGCCCTTGTTCTTCATCACCCTCCTTTTCTCATTCATGTGTCCTAGTTCTAGCACGACTGACTCTCCTCGGCGTCCATCCTTAGGACCAATCTTGCTTATTGCTTTTGCTTCAACCTCTGCCTCCAACATCTCTGATAGCTAAACTTCTAGTCATTTGTGACATATTTTTATAAGATTATACGTATTATTCTTAAGCCCTTTTTTCATTATTTCGCTATCAAATCGATATAATTCTGTTCTCATTTATCCCGTGATTTCATTTCATTACAGCCTGAAGTAATTGAACTCCATGTAAAAATAACGAAGAAAATGCAGAGAACTCAAATGGCTCTTCTTGATATAATGAACTTCGTTATTAAGGAGCTTAAGAGATTAAATAAGTATCTAGATCTGGAGGACTTAACAGCCGAAAATGCAATTTCCAAGAACTTTTACAAACAGCTGCAACATCAACTCGATCCAATCTGGCATCAGCTTGGGTCTGCTACCAAGCAGCTCGTAACTGACTTGAAATTACTCTGCACTTTTCTCACGTGAGTGATCATCATTAATAACTATAATCAATAAACCATAGCTGGAGGTTCAATTTTCAAGAAACGTCAGCAGTGAATTGATCGTAGGCTTTTAATTGAAGCTATCCAAATATGTTTTACAATTTTGTATGGATTACATCATAAATTCGGCGATTTCCATTTACAAAATCTGTAAATTGGATTGCGTGAGAGAAATTTCAAATGGTGTATTATGTTATAAGTGCGTACAGAAATACTTTTTCATACGGTCGCGTAACACAATATTTTTTGTGATACCTGCCGAGTTGACTGTTTCGCGCGGTAATGCGTAAGGTTCCATGTGGAGGTGTGAATCCCGCACGACCTTTGAATCTTCCGCACGTCGTGCGGAAAACAACCGCTTTATGCACACTAAACCGTTCCGAAATGTACTCTTTCCAGGGGGGTATCACAAGAAATTGAGTAAATAATTGATATAGTTATAATACCATCATTTTTTTAGGTTCTGCACAAGGCTAGTTATTATGATCACCCAGAAAGTCGACTCTCGATTTATTATCAAATGTTGGCATTTCCAGGTATCTAGAGTCTAATAATGACTAACATAATAGGGTATTTCAAATCGAGTGCGTAACAATGCTTTTTGACGTACCGCAGGTGTGTAGCGCCCACCGAAGGCGAGTGCTGCACTCCCAAGCGTCAAAGAATACTTTCCCCACGAATGTCAAACCCTATTTTTCATCTCAATGTGTGAAAAGTGGGATTTTATGCATACGGAGCGTGCGTGAAAGTGATTACAAGTTTACTGGATTACTCGATTGGAAATGAAGGAAGTAATGGTTGGTAATTAAATGATTTCCATTTCCGGTAGTAATTTCTGATGACTTCGAGACATCATCGGAAATTAGTAGAAATCATGAAGGAATCAAGTTACTGCAGAAATAATTTAAAACCATCGATGAATGTGAAACCCAATTTTTTTATTCGATTTATTCATTCGTATAATCCCGTCTGACCTTCATGACCTTCTTATCCACATGTCATTTGATGCTTGCTATTACATCTAGGGTGACAAATGGGAATAGGTGAAAATTAAACTATCATAGTTTTGTTTATTGATGTAGGAAAGGAAGGATCATCATGTTTGTAGACACAATAGAGTTTGCAAATTTATTTACAATTAATTAGAGTTGCATTTCATTTTTTTTTAATGAAAATTCACACGGTGAAAGAATTGATCAAACACATTCCAGGGCATATGGCTAATGGTAAATACTTTCCAAGTGTCCTCCGTCAGAATTTGCGCAATAGTCAATTAGTCAATATTAGTTAATAGTCAGGCTTTTCTGAAATCTATGAAAGACTTCTTCAATTTTAGCTTGAGAAATATTAGAAACACCCTTCTGGATAGCGCTTATCAGAGCCTCTTTTGTCTGACGATTGTCCGCGTAATAGAAGTCTTTGAGATAACCCTACAAGAAGAAATCACACGGGTTCAAATCCGGTGAGTATGGTGGCAATTCCATCCTTGCTGGGGCGAAACGAGGATACCCTAAGTCGATGACACGATCACCGTATACTTTATGCAATGCAGCAAACATATCATTAGCTCGATGAAGTGTTGTACCGTCTTGGATAAGATAGAAATCCGTCACCGATCCTTTTTTCTTAGGGAATGGGAAAAATTTGGTTTCCAACATCTCTCGGTAACTCTGCCCTGTAATGGTCCCTTCCAAGATTTTCACATGTATTTGTTTGATCGACAGAGCTGCTCAATCTATAACTTTAGTAGGGTGGAGCGGTTTTGCTACTGATGAATGTGGATTTTTACTCCCCCACAATCGATAATTTTGTTTATTCACATAGCCATTAAGGTAGAAATGAGCTTCATCGGTGGCATTAATTCGATTGGCTTCGATTTCAGAATTTTCAAACATTTGCGTCAAAACTTTGCTGAATTCAAGTCGTTTTCCTATAGCAGCTTGCGTAAGCAATTGGTGGGAAGTGATTTTATAAGGATGAAGTTTGAAGAAATGTTTAATTATCAAACGTAGGGTCTCTCGGTTCAATTCTAACTTGGCAGCCACCTTGCGTATTCAATTAGTTGGATGATTTTTGAAATGTTTTTCCACCGTGCCCACTACTTCTTCCGTCATTACTGTATAAGATGGACCCGGAAGATCATGGCGACGATTCTGTAGGGTACCATAGTTGACAAAATTATCAATTACCCTACAAAAAAGAGCACATTGACTCAAAAAATTTATTGGGGACTAACCTAAAAAAATCTCATAGGAGAACTAAAAAATTCCTACCGTTTGAGAGTGGTTTCGCTCCCAATTCTGTGACTACCAAACTTATTACGAAAGCCTCTATACACATTTGTATAATTTTTTCCTCGGGAATAATAGCACTCAATGAGATACCCTTTTTCTTCGACAGTAAGCTCACTCATTTTGGAGAATATGGACTCGACCTTGGAGTGTTTCAACAGAATTTGCCAGGCTCCACGTTTTAACCTACAACACCCCGATCCCTGGTGACAAAGTGGAGAAGGAAATATAGGGGAAAAGTTTTCATCTATTCCCATTTGTCATCCTTATCTACAGCCTCGACAAATGGCAAAAACTATAATTTTTGGCGTGTAACATAACGTAAAAAGTGGAAACCATTTTCTATAACTAGAGCAAAATTTCATTGATTCAGAATTACCGTAGACAATTTCGAAGAATACTAAATTGATACGCGGGATTGGGACACAATAAATTAACAGATTGTATTCGTTGATGAAAGTTTATTATAAGGCACGTCTCTCTACTCGCGGCTAGCGTCCAACACGTCATGAACAGGAATGTCTAGTTCACACGTTACAACCGACCTGGGACGAGATCTGCGCATGCGCACGAAAACTATCATTATATTTTACTGAAAAGAATTATTATTATTTCAAATAATTGATTTTTCAGTTTTACAACTATAACATTTTATTATTATTATTATCATTATTATTCTTATTATTACAGGTATATATATCCTACTGTATATCGCCATCGTCCTTCCGGTGCAGCGTCCTTCGTGTGCGCATGCGCACGATCTCGTCCCTCCTTTCTTAGCGTACATTGATGTCTTATACTATGGATTATTGTTGAGGATAGAAATCAACCCATGGTCGTTAAGACGATTCCCTACTTATTCAGACGTCACATAGAATATATCCATCTTTCCCACACATGAATATCTAACCTTTACTTATGTATAAGAAGAACCTTACAAATGTAATAAATCTGAGTATATAATTATATCTGTTCATGTTTAATCAATCAGCCCATAATATCTAACAGGTTATGGGCCCAGGCACCAAAAAGAGATTAAGATAAATAATAGAAATATTATTTATATGAACAGCTCTCGATTACAATGTGAAAAGAAAAAGTTAGTGAAAGTCTAACATTGAGGTTATTTTAGCCAACGTGCAAAACAACAAGATAACACATCATGGAGGAGGAGACCACTAAAATCACAAAACTCAAAGGAGTCGAGAATTGGAGTATATGGAAGTTCCAAGCAAAGATTTTATTGAATGAGAAAGGGGCATATGATGTAGTAGACGGTACATCAACGATTCCAGTACTTGCTGCAGGGGCAAATGAAGCTCAGAGGACTGAACATAGTACACAAGTGGAAATATGGATGGCAAAGGACAAAAAGGCCCAAAAGATTATAGGTACAAGTATCTCAGACAAACTAGTATTACATATAATGAATCTGACTACCGCAAAGCAGATGTGGGATAAGTTACAGTCGATTTTCGAGCAAAAATCAGACACAAGTATCCATTTAATCCAACAGAAATTCTACAGTTATGTTAAAGACCCACAGGATGACATAGCAACACATATAGCCAAGTTAGAAGACCTTGAACATCGATTAAAGGTGTTGGGTCAGCCTATATCTGAAACTATGTCCATAACGAAAGTCCTAATGACTCTACCACCTGAATTCAGTCATTTCAATACTGCATAGGAGTCAACTGTACCTCAAGATAGGACGAAGGAGAAGCTCACAGCCAGGCTTGTGATAGAAGAAACGAGGTTAAACATTCAAGAGCCCGATGAGCATAACGCATTGTATGCAAAACATCACCCCAAAGATGACAGGAAGAACAGCAGTAAACAAGGTCAGGGTTCGAAGGAGAAAAGAAAGGAACCAGGACTCTGTCATATTTGTTATGAAGGTCAACATTGGAAAAGTAAGTGTTCTAAACAGGCAGAGAAACAAGACTCGTCTGAGAAAAAAAAAGAGGTTAAATCAAAATCTAAACGTCAAGAAAAGCCCATAGCACTGGTGGGAGAGTTGATCGCGTCTGTTGCCAGCATGACAAAGGCATTGAAGGAATGGTTTTTGGATTCAGGGGCATCAGACCACATGAGTAGCAACAAGGAGTGGTTTAATGATTATGAGGCATTTGAAATACCAAAGTTAGTGAGAATTGGTGATGGCAAGTGTATCCAAGCCTTGGGAAAGGGAAACATAAATATTATGGCATATACTGAAGGGCACTGGGAGCCCAGAAGCCTAATGGATGTGCTCTACATACCTAAGATGAAATTAAACTTGTTCTCACTTGGAGCTACGATGGATAAAGGTTTTGTCAATGTAACCGATAATGAAGGATGCAAAATAATTCAAGGAAATCGAGTTGTTGCAGTTGGTATACGAAGAGGAAAATTGTATCAAATGGCATTCAGAACAGGAACTGAAGAGGATTTTGATGATGACACAGGCGAACTACAAGTAAATGTGGCAGTTCAGGACACTTTGGAGCTGTGGTATCAACGAATGGCCCATCAAAACATCAAACAAGTAAGACAAACGTTAAAATTATCCAACATAATGATTGAACGTGATGATAATTTCTTTTGTGATGCATGTGTACTGGGGAAAATGCACAAACTTCCTTTTCTAACAAGCCAGTCCAACACGAACGAAATTGGAACAATAATCCACACAGATCTCTGCGGTCCAATGAGCAAGGTGTCACTAGGAGGAGCAAAATACATGATGGTGTTGAAAGATGACTACTCGCACTACAGAGTGGTAAATTTTTTGAAGTCAAAGAATGAGGTGAGTCACTACTTAAAGAAATTCCTGGCTAAATTTAAAAATAAAAATGGAAAAGATATCAAGATTCTGAGGTCAGACAATGGCCTTGAATTTACAAATGCAAAGGTACAGAAAATATTAAGAGAAAAAGGAATAACTCATCAAAAATCCGTCACGTACACACCCCAACAGAATGGCTCAGTTGAGAGGGAGAATCGCACGATAATAGAGGCAGCAAGGACATTATTGATAGCAAAAGGGCTACCAAAATTTCTATGGGCTGAGGCTGCAAACACAGCTACGTATACCTTGAACAGAGTAGGAAAAAGTACAGTACCAAACAAATCCCTCTACGAACTATGGACGACAACTGAACCAAAACTAGACAGACTGAGAGTTTTTGGGACAAAAGTCTATGCACAAGACTATACACAGTACAAAAAAAACAGAAGTGGGATTCAAAGGTAAAACCAGGGTTTTTTGTTGGATACGAGGACAAT